AAGGCTAGTGCACTCTTTCCAGTATCCAAACCCCCTCTCTTGAAACACCAGTACTCGTCTTGAATTTTTAACTGTAAGGCAGTTTGTAATCACACCAGATCAGGGTCTGCTAACTCCCTTTTTGACTGGGTAGGGAAATTCTTCTCTCTCTAGAAGATCTATCTCCTTTCTTTAGCCTGAATGGGAGTCTTCCCCTTCTTCCCAAGCTTCCTTGCCAACTTTCCCCCAGCTCTCTGACTGTGTTAACTGCTCTCAGCTGAGGTTGAAATCAGACTCAACTCAAGTCAAGGCAGAAATCTGACTGAAGGCATGCAGCTCTTAAATCTCTCTGCTCAGCTGATGCTAACCAATCAGATTGCTTGGAGCAACCTGTCACTCAAGGCTCTCTGTTTCTGTGAAGAATTAACCCTTCACAGCCCTTCACTTTTAAAGCTTGAATTCATTTGAAATCTCTCATTCTCAAATACTTACAAATGAATGTGACCTTCTCTTGATTTTCCTTAATTGTGGGATTACATGTTTGTGTTAAAAGTATTGTTAAAAGCCTACTTTAATTTAACTTCTGTAGATGGTGTTTACCAGGGCTGCATTCAGACCTTTCTTTTTAGCACTTGCTGTTTTATATAAAAGTGGTGAATGAGTATTTTTCCTTCCTGCTGCTATTAGTTCAGAACAAGTATCTGAAATCTGTCTTAGTGACATAAAGCTTGAAAAACTTGCTTTGGTCCTTCAAGTGAGCTGTCTGTATGCCTGCGACAAGTTATGGACAGGTTAAGTGTCTGTGTGTGTGCTTGAGGCAGGGGTGCCTTCTGGGTTTGGGTGTTGCTTGGCTGGACTAAATGTCTGAATGATGCACTCAGTTATAGCTAACACAAATGAGAAAGATGCTACCCATAGGCCCAGACTTGCAATCTCCTTCAAGCTGACGTCCCCCCCCCCAAATACACTGCACTTAAGCCCATGCGTGTTCTAAAGAGTGAATGCCCTCAGTCATTGAGACATGCACTGTGAACATTTTCTCCATTTCTCCTTTCTTTATTCATTTATAGCCCGCCCCCTTGCTAAGATTCAAAGTGGATTACAAAATATAGAAGCAACACAGATAAAAGGTTGCAGACAGGACATACCATAAGCACTGCAGAAAATGAATTGCCAAAGTCTAAGACAAGGCAGCAAAAACAAGACAATATACACAATGAACAGTGCAATAGACTATGATCTTATACCTTTCCAGTAGCAACCAGTTACCAGCTCTTGAGTCCTGTCTCTTTATTACATACTTACTTGAACCTCTGGCTGTTCAAAATAGGTGTGACTTTCCCCTTATAGACATTAGCAAATTCTCTTCCCCCACCTCTCACCTCCCAGAAATCTGATAATTAAACTTTGCCTGGAATACCTGTGAACCAGCTAGTTTTGTTCATGGGACCAGAGATTCTAATTACAGGTGACCCCTGTTTGACTTGATAAACCTATGACTTGTTAGAAGAGAATAAAGGTAACTTTTGGAATCTTCCATCTGCTTATTTTTCAGGTTCCATTTTTGTCTCCTCTGGAAGGCCACATATATCTGAAGATTAAATGTCAAACAGAGTCCTGTGTGGAAGAGAGAGGGTTTTTGGTAAGTTGTCATTACATGTCTAGACTAGTCAACCCTATGAGAGCCAGTGTGGTATAGTGGTTAAGAATGATGGATGAGTATCGGGGAGACCCCACTCATGTAATGGAAACTCACTGGGTGACCTTGCGGCCAGTCACACTCTCTCAGCCTAACCTACCTCACAGGGTTGTTGTGAGGATAAAACAGAGGAGAGGAGAAAGAGGAAGCTGCTTTGGGTCCCCCCATTAGGGGAGAAAGGCAGGGTGTAAATTAATTAAATAAAACATTCTTTCTGTGGCATTAAGGTGGATGATCTTCAAGGTCAGGGCTAGCACGAGTGAGCGGACTATCTTTGAACAAACTGTTTCATGTACTGTTTCATGGTTACTAAGGTTAGAGGTCCTCAGCACACTTAAGCAAAAAAGTGCAGCAAGGCTAGAGCATCACCTGCCAACCAGGAGTCCAGACAACTGTTCGATCCTGCTTTGAACTCCTGGTTTGCAGGAAAGAGAAGAAGCCCTAGTCTGTGTCTTATCTGTAAGGTCTTCCATCAAAAGCCAGTTCTTGTCATTGAGCCAGGCACAGGGACCACACGTGGACCTGACAGTTCCCCAGGCTTGTTCCCCAAGCTGACAAACTGTGGTTTCCGTCTACTGTGCTTATCCTTCTCACACCTTGATCTGTCAAGCTCCTGTTTAATCATGTTGATAACTTAAATAATGCTAATTAGCTTTGTAGTACAATTTAGATTGTAGAATTATTGATAGCAGTCCCCCCCCGATACGTAGGGCTTGCTGGAACCCCCTTTCCTTTCACCATGTTGCTTCCTGGATCCCAGCAGACGCAGCAGGCTTAGAATACTGTAGTACAATTTAGATTGTAGAATTATTGATAGCAGTCCCTCCCGATACATAGGGCTTGCTGGAACCCCCTTTCCTATCACCATGTTGCTTCCTGGATGCCAGCAGGCGCAGCAGGCTTAGAATAAATCTCAAAACTCCTGTAATAGCAGATATTAATCTGGGCACAGATGCTAGAGCAGAGCTGGAAGTTTTAGTTGACTGGTTACTGTTGAATCCAGCAGATGGCACTGTTCCTTTCCAAAGAGATACTGGCTGGCACCAGCCACTACTAGTAATTCCTAGATCACAACAGCACTGTGCTGAGGCTATCAAACGGGCTACAGAAGTAGTACATTTGGCTATGACTTCATAAACTGCATTCTTAAAAGCAAAGCAAGGTAAAAATGTCTCCAGTGTTATTAGCCACTGAGTGGTGGTTATGCAAGTATAAGGGAAAAGTCATTGCTACATTTCCTGCTGGTTTAGTGGCAGTAAATTGAGAAAATAAGCAGCAAGAGGAGTTATAACAGTTTGGTTACTAAGGCTAGAGGTCCTCAGCACACTTAAGCAAAAAAGTGCCTGCAAAAACTGATTTTTCTTGCCCTCTTTAGACTATGTTTGAAGATGTTAGTGGGTTTGGAGCTTGGCATCGGCGTTGGTGTGTGCTTTCTGGTAATTGCATCTCTTACTGGACTTACCCAGATGATGAAAAGCGAAAGGTAATTGCAGTTTTAATATTCCTTAAGTTCTTGATTAATGCCTGAGTTGGGAGCTCTCCCGGTTCTGTGGTTGGCTGAAAGTATAGACAAGTACAAACTTTACTACTATAATAAGAAATTTCGGGTAGATCCATATGTTAATGGCTGTTAGGAAGCCTCATGTGGGTGCAGCAAATACTGTAGGTTTTCTTAGGAGGCAGTTAATTGTTAAAAGTGAATTTTACATAAAATAAATTATTTCCCAAGAAAAAAAAAGGTTAACTGCTTTTGGACACTTTTGACTTTTAGCATCCAATTGGGTCATTAAACCTGGCAAACTGCACTAATCGTCAGATTGAGCCAGTCAACAGAGAGTTCTGCGCTCGGCCTAACACTTTTGAACTGGTTACCGTCCGGCCACAGCGGGAGGACGATAAGGAAACGCTTGTTAGCCAATGCAGAGACACACTCTGTGTTACCAAGTAAGTAGACTGAGGTTCTTCTTTAATCTTCTGCTTAACCTTCTGAAAGGCTAAGAAATGGGGTTATTATACTCCCATTTTCTTCTGTATTTTGAGTACATTAAAGAATCATTAAAACTGCTGCTTATTTGGACAATAGGACTCGTGCCTACGTTCTCTGTTTGGCATTGAGGTTGATATGGGGGTTCGATATTGCTGCTCTTGTGAGTTTTCTTCTGTGTGATTGGCAGGATGTTTCTGGACAATAGTCTCATTGGGGACACCTTCCCATTATTTCATGTTTGAAGAGATGTCTGAATTAATATTGAATTTTCTCTCTGTCTTTACAGGAACTGGTTGTCTGCAGATACGAAGGATGAGCGTAAACTGTGGATGCAGAAACTAAACCAGGCTCTTGTTGATCTTCGCATGTGGCAGCCTGATGCTTGCTATGTCCCTATTGGGAAGCCTTGAATTGTGGGGAAGCTCCCCCGGAAAGCTCGCTTACAAAGCCAAAGGCAGACCATATCACTACTTAATGCAGACTTTTGTATAAGGTCTCTTGGATTCTACATTACACTTCATGCTTTAAAATGTGGAAGCGGGTGTGTTGCGTTGCACTCTTTTTGCTGTGTCTAGAGTTCTAACTCTTTTCTTAGCATTGGAGTACAGAAACTGGTTTTTAAGCTCTTCTTGACTGTGCAAAATATTTATAATACCTTGAAATCCGTTGTTCAGTACCCCATTAAAAAGCAGTTTCTATTAAGTAGCAGGGCTTGGTTTATTTCAGGAGCTGAAGAAAGTTAGCCAAGGGGGAAAAAAGAGAGCTTTATCGTACACAGAGTTTTCCATTTTGGGATACCTCTAAGTTTTCTGGTTTAGTGGGGGTGCTGGAGCTGAAGCAGGAACTTCAATGCTTTATATAATAAAGTTATCTTAAGAAACTAATTGGGGATTTAAAAGAAGAAACACCTTGTAATTAACATTCAGCATACTTGGCACTTGTAAAAAGTGTCTGTCTAGGATATGAACAAGGTAGAATAGTCATAGATCCTGATAGGCAAAATAAAATTAAACAGAAATTGAATTAGTGCATGGTCTTGCACATAATATGGTTTACAGATGTGTTCAGTTATGCAAGATGTTGCACATTTTCCTAGAAAACGAGCATTCTGAATATTTTCCTAAAGCTGCTCTTTTTAAAAGCAAAATAGAAGTTCTCACTGATCTTTCCGTAGTCATATTCAACTTGCATTGCATAGTTTGAGCAAATTAAAACGTCCACTGATCTTTCAGCACTAGGAAGCCATATGAATATCATGCAGACTTGGAGAGCTTGCTTAGGCACTCGGGGTCCGTAGATTTTTATAACTGAAATGTCTGTCAGTGGAGGTTAATTCGGCTGATGAGTGCAGTGGCAAAGTTTCTGAGTTAAGCATCAGATGTGCAGCATTCACACGTGCTTTCTGTCGGGTACCACGACATGCTGTCTCACTGCTGTGTGTATTAAAAGAGCAGCAGAGCACTTCCTTTGAACCGTTGCTTTATATATTTAGACACTAACACTTTAACTGCCCCTTTTTTGTATGACAATTGCTTTTTTCTTGATGTTTATAAACAACTTCTCCACATAAATAAATGTTTAAATGTATCAAAGGGGTTGTCTCCCAATGATTGTCTACTGCAGTAGAAAACATGAATATTTGCTTTGTTGAAATAGCTATATACTGTTTTTCTGACAAGTGCCTTGGGGTTTAGAGTGTAGAGGTTAACAGGTCAATCATCAGCTGGACACAGGCTTTCTTTGCTCTTTGTATTCTGGATGCAGCGTTACCCCATGTCAGACTGGCATTGTGACAGAATGCATCCAGGAGCCTGCCATTGCACTGCTATGCTCAGTAAAGAGTATTAAGTTGAATCTACAGGTCACTTTCCACTACTGTAGCTTATTTCTTGAGGGGGGGGGGGCATTTTCTATCTATCTAGTACTGCTCATATGTCTATCAACTTAAGCAGAAATTAGAACAGAAAATATTTTAAAAGACCTTGCTTGGTATTATTTCTTTTATATTTGATCATTGCGCCTATGAATTTTGCCACTAAGAGGGTGTCATGATCATTTGTATCAGATAGTAGACCTGGGCTTGCACATTTAGCAATTCCGTATCTCTCCTTACATATAAAAGACTTTTTGTGTCCCACTTTCCTCAACGTTCCACATGCTCCCACAGCCTTTCACCCGCTCAGCTGCCCATCTCTTGAACTCCCAATCCCCTGGCTGCATTGCCTCGCTGCATTGGCTCGGCCCTGCCCACAGAGCCAGCAGCCAGGGTATCGCTCTCAGTCTGGAGGGAGCTGGCGAAGGGGATGGACACTTCACTGAGAGAGCAGCAACCTCCACGGGAGAAGGAGGCAGACTAGCGAGCGGCAGCAAGCAGGGGAAGCACTCACCTTCGTGGCCCCTCTCCTTCAGCCGCAAGGTCAGCACTTTGTCAGGACGATAGCTCAGTGGGATGTACCACAGAGAAGGCTGCCCAGTGCCTTTCAAAGGCTCCCTCGCCTTCCTGCAGCGGCAGCGCCAGGGAGGGTTTGGCCTAGAGGAAATGAGCTGCAGCCCCTGGAAAGCTGGACTTTCTCCTGAGGAAGAAACTTCTCTTGGCTCCTGTGTGGGACTAACTGTCCCCTCAGTGGCTGTTGGTAGACTATCAAACCATTCTCTCCAACCCCCTGCTGTGCGGCTGACTTTCCTCTAGGGTTGCCAATCTCCAGGTGGGACCTGGAGATCGCACGCTGTTACAATTGATCTCCAGATGACAGAGATCAGTTCCCCTGGAGAAAATGGCTGCTTTGGAGGGTAGACCCTATGGCATTATCCCCTGCTGAGTCCTTCCATCCCCCCCGCGTGCTGCCCTCCACAGGATCCACCCCCCAAATCTCCAGGTATTTCCCTAATCGGAGCTGGCAACTGTCATTTCTCCTCAGTGCCTGTTGCTAGGCAACCAGGTTCTGTCAGTAAAAGGCCCTTTCCACACCTATTTTGGCCTTTGGGAGAAAACACATTGGGGCCGGTCCTGATAGGATTGCCAATTCCAGCTGGGAAATTCCTGGATATTTGAGGGATGGCGCCTGGAGAGGGTGAGGTTTGAGGAGGGGTGGGACCTCGGACAGGTACAGTGCCATCGACTCCATCCTCCAAGCCAGCCATTACCTCATGGGGAACCATTGTTGCCAATCTCCAGGTGGGGGCTGGAGACCACTCAGAATTACAACTGCTCTTCAGATGGCAAAGATCAGTTCCCCTGGAGAAAGTGGTGGACTCTGTGTCATTATACCCTGATGAGGTCGCCACAGCAAATTGACGCTGAGTGCCCAAGGGCGGGGCATTCTCCCAGAGCCTCTTTCTAGACCTCGTTGTATTTATGTCCACAACGGGCCTTATTCCTAGTTTAAATAAAGGGGTGACTAAATTAGCCCTCAACTCATTGAATATAGGGCAGTCTGCTATCATATGTTCAATGGCTTTAATTGTATCATATGAACATCTGCATGTTCTGTTAGAGTACAGATACTCTGTTATATCTGTCCTCCAAAACTGCTGAGGGAAGAACATTCAGTCTTGCCAAAGTAAAAGCTCTTCTTAATTTTGGGACTGTCAGTTGAAAAAAATATTTCGGCAGATGCATTGGGAGGGCAGTTTCCAAATGGAGTGTCGAACATAGCCTGCGTGCCCCAATAGATGTACTTGTAACATCCCATTTCCTTACACATTTTTAATGGGTGGGGAGGATGTTTAAAGGAAGAAGTGTAAGGCCTTCCCTGGAGCACACCAAGCCTTTCCCTTTCAGAATTTGGGAGGAAGAAGGATCTCATTTTCTAGAGCCCTGCCAGGGATGAATGTTCTGTTCTCTCCCACTGAGGCAAAAGCAGGAAAGGGCTGCAGTCCTTGGAGCAGGACACCCACATAATGGTCTGGCTGTTAGTACCCCGTTGCCAGAGCGATGCGTTGCGTTACATCCTGGCGACGGCGGGTGCACCACGTATCGCCGTCCCTGCGGCAGGGATCCTGTGAAGACATGCGGATTCCCCGCCGCCACTTGGTAAGCCTAGTTAGTAGACATAAGAATAATATTTTTGCACAACATTATTTTATATGCAGTTATCAGTGGTTTGGCTTAGAAACAAGTAGACTGGGGTAAATAGCATTTGATTACATTACCGAACAAAGATTGACCTCTGTTCACCAATTAACGCCGAGTGTGTAATTAGATATGACAGAACATGCATTCCGTATCTAGCCCTGGTTCTTCACCTGTGAAGACTTATCAAATAAGGAAAGTAACACCTTTTGACTGACCTCTGTTTCAGCTGTGTGCATATAATCCTAATTGTCACAAGGGTTAAAGAGGTCTGCCCGTGCAGGGCCTAACTATGTTATGTTTGACTGTTGGGGGTAATTAGGAGTTGATTAGGTAGAATGTAGCAGAGGAACAGTTTCATGACTCCCTTCATTCAGAAAAGTGTTTGATTAACAGATGCTCGCCAATGAAGGAAACCATGGACTTAAACATCTATGATAACAGAAAAGGACTAGCTGTTCTGGGTTCATTCCAGTATCTCAAGCGATCCTGCCAAACTCATTGTGAAAACATACATTGTGTCATGTACTATCTCTGATTTTAATGTTGTATATGCCATTAAAGGTCTATTGATTGATTGATTGATTGAAAACATACATAAGTCCCATGTGTATGATAGGTGGAGGTCTTGTGGAGTCACAGCAAGGGCAGGGTTGAAACCTATAATTCAAAGTCATTCTAAAATGCTGGTGATAAAAACAAAAAAACTTCCACAAAGTATTTACATCCACATAAGAACACTCAAAGATAAGCTTTGGAAAAATGAGTAAAAGTGCAAAGTTAGCTGGTAGGCAAAGACTTAATATGAAATCATTTGAATGAGCCTGTGTCATAGCAACATGACAGATTAGTGAGAACTAACAATTATGACAGCTTATAGAAGATGAGTGGGAAATTGTAAGCGAAACTAGAAGTATTAAATGAAATTCTTCAGAAGTGCCCCTGAACAAATGGAAAGGAATTTTGGCAATGGTTCAGTAGTAGAATTCGAAACAGCAGTTGACATCAAAATGTATTTTATGTTTCTTAGTTTCATGCCAGTCCATCCTTAACATAAAACTGCTTCTTTATCAAACTAAGGCTGGAAGAATAAGTTCTGCTTCTGTGTGACCTGCATGCAGACACTGTTGAGAGGCTTTGGCATAAAAAGGCTGCAAATGATGCCTTTTAATGGATACAGTGAATGGCTGGAAATGGAAAGACCCCTATTGTTTAAAGGCTGCCGTTGACAGTGGTGGTCTCAGGTGGTAATGAGACCAGCATCAATAGCTGTAGCCCTGCCCCACCCTCCAAAAAACTAGAAACTTGCTGGACTGCTTAGGGCAATATTTAAGATATGTTCATCTCCAAAAACAGAAAAATATTTAAAGCTATTAAAACTGATGTATATTCAGCTTCAAATGAGTCAAGGGGAAGCAATTATCTTTAGCATAACTTTTCTGTTCAAAATGTCAATAAAGATGGATGGCAGGTGGTAATGCTTTTCACCTAAATCTTGGGTCAAAATAATTAAGGACTTACAAAGTAAGCCTAGTGCAGATGGCCTGCCATCAGAAGATCAGGCAACATTTATTGAAAAATTAGCTGGCTAACGAGTCCTTGCTATCAAGTTTGATCTGAGTTGTGTAGGCCTGCAAAATTCCTAGTGTTTCTAATTGTGTTTAAATATTTAGACGTTGCTTCTCTCCCCATGTCTCCCCCAAAGTACTACACACCATTGTAACCTCTTCTGTTTTATCTTTACAACAGAAACCCTCTGAGGTAGGATAGGCAGAGAGAGAATGTGACTGGCCCAAGGTCACCTTGCAAACTTTGATGCCAGTATAGGAATTCAAACTGACACTTTAACCACTGTACCATGCTGCCTTCCAAAGCCTGGAAAAGCATGTCCACTACCAGAAACTTATATATCCATCTCTTTACTAATTTAATTTCATTGAACACCTTTAATTTACACAGCATCAGTTAAGACAAATTGATAAAAGGTAAGAATGCTATTACAGCATGACTACTAGATATGAATCAAGTTTATTCTTGAATGATTTTTATTTTTCAGATGTGGAAAAGGCATTTGCCCCACTAGAATGGCCTTATTTAACAACTGTCAATCTGAGCATTTCCATTAAGGACAGGAGTCAGCAACACTATAAAATTATAGAGCAAAATTACATCAAAATTCAGAGCAACCTATCAGTAAACAACCAGAATAAGAAATATACAAGGCTGGGTTCAACCAGCTTTTCTGCAGAAGAAAATACAAAGAGGGGTACACTTTGACCTCCAAAGAAGGTTATGCTGGGGATCGTCGGTCCTGAGTGTACAAAAGCCATGGGGGAATTGGGCAAGATTGTGTGACATTATTGATGACTGACAAGTTGTTTGAAAATTTGAAAAGCTTCTGTAGCCCAGGCACTGCTTGCTGACAGTCATTTATTCGGAAGCACGCACATGGCGTCTAACTGTAACTAATAAGTCTACCCAGGAGCACC